AAGGTTTATTAATCTTAAATCTTAGTTCATTATACACTCACCGGCATGAAAAACGGGCAGCCCTAAATTTTAATGTATCTTAAAGTTTAATATATTTTGTTCTAATGGGCCGATTTTTATGAGTTTTTAAGTACTTTGTAGCTAAATTATTTGACTTTTTGAATTAAAAATGCGAGTTTCCATCTGTCAATTATACGAGGTGAAACAAAATGTTGATATTTTGGTGAAAGTTTGAAACGCCCTGTGGAATATGTTAACAAAGCAAGGAATTTAAAAATAATTTAGTTATCTAAGTACGTCTTTTCCCGAGAGTTTGTTTTTGGATTCATCTCAATAGCTTTATTTTTATTGGAGATATTCGTTTTTGAATAAGACAGTAACGCTTTACAGCAATTTTAGCATTGCTTTTGGGTTGTCATCAACACGCTTATAAAATAGTGTTTATTTCTTTTGTAATGTCACTGTCATTGAAAAATCATATTATTATTATTTACTAACGTTTACTTTAGTAGATATGGTTTTAAGTTCTGAAGTATCGGCTATTGCTGCTTTAATTGATCATGGTAGAGATTAACTTTTGGACTTAAAACCATATCCGCTAGAGTAACTGCCTAACAGACAATAATAATATGATTTTTCAAAGATAGTGACATTACATAAATCATAAATACTATTTACTATTTTATCTACAACCGTTTAGTTATAACGTTTTTACATCACTATTTTTTTAGTATTTCAGTTACGTTATGAGATTCATAACCATAGATAAAAGAAAATAATCTACTATTAAGATAGATATGAAACTTAATAGTAAAATTTTGGGTCAAAGCGCCCCTCCGTGTTTTTAGTGGAGACTACATTTAACCCAGCGCCTTCGCCTTTTCTGCTGTAAATGTTTTTTATGTTTATATTTGAATTCAAAGAATTTATTTTTAAAGTTACACTGATATATTAGTATATCAGAGTAACTTTAATAAAACATAAGAATATATATATTTTACAATTTATTTTTTTATTTATTTTACAGAGTTTCATGTAAATGATCGTAAGTCGACTGGCTGTCTAATGAATAGACCGAGATTTATAGATTTTAAAGCGAACGAAAAAAAATCAAACAACGAATACATACCATATATTTTTCTTTTATCTAAGATACATACCTTATCGTCTTTTGGAAAGACGTACAGTTTTGCAGTTTTGTTAGTTTCTTTGCAAGATGCAACACAACAAGAAAACAACATTTTTACAGTTAATAAATAATAAAACTATTTCTGACTATGTATTTAAAATTTAGATAGATAGAAAATCAAAAAACAAGCCAGCATTTGCAAACGCAGGCCCAAATTCAATAAAAATCAAAATTTTTCCTGCGAAAATCAGTCTTTTTTCACTGAAAAGGTATTTTTTGATTTATCAACAGTCATTGTCAAGTTGACAATATACAGGGTATTTTCGAATTAGTCTAAAAAAATTATGGTGTGATTCCTCATGTGTTCTTAAAACAATTTTTATATAACCATTGGGTCTAAAGTACTTCCTTTCTGATCTTCAGGGTGTTAAAAATTAAAAAAATCGATTTTTTTGCTTAACATAAATGATACACCACTGCTTTTTTAAAGAAAATATATTTTTTCTTGACTGGCCATCCTTTTTCAACAAAATTGATTTTTTGCGTTTTTGGTTTGGTTTGGTTGTCGAGAAAAAAATAAATATACTTATTAAGAGCCCGCCTGAATTCGTTTTCTAACGATTTTTTATTTTTTAGATTAATTAGGAAACACCCTGTATATGCATATCACAGGCAACCAAATAAACTAGTAACCTCTAAAAATTATTGTTCCTACCACTAGCGACATACCGTGTTTTTAGTGTGTACTAAATTATTTTATCAAAATATGACTATACATAAGTTTCCAGGCAATGTTCATAACACAACTAGTGGTGTTACGAATCTATAACACTAGCTAGTTTTTATAATAATGAAAAACAACTACGAACATCTAAATATATTAACTTTTCCGGCAATGATGATTCCGTGGCACGTACTGCGGCCGCTTCTACATCTGAAGGGAGACTTTCGGAATCGCTCATCGTAATTTTTAAAATGATTTTTCTAGGCAAAAAGTGCTCGCGTTTACTTGACAGGGCAAACTGACTTTTCAGAAAAAAGATGTGACAAATGTCATAGTTAAAGGTGGGCGACTAATAAACGAAAATTAAAACAGCATTTTCTTATTTTTCGGTTGTAGATAAAACGTTTTACATGACACGTGCGTTTAAACATGATTACAACACTCGTATGATTAGAACGACTCGGTCTGTGACCTCGTCGTTCTAATCGTTCACACCCGTCGTTGTAATCATGTTCATAAACACACTTGTACTGTAAATAACTGTTATCTACAACCGTTTAGTTATAACATTTTACATCACTATTTTTTAGTATTTCAGTTACGTTATGAGATTCATAATACAACAGTTGTGTTATGAATCATAACATAACACCACTAGTTACTAGTGGTGTTATGAATCTATAACACAACTAGTTTTTATAATAATGAAAAATTTTAAATAGTAACATTTTCTTTTTTCGGTTGTTGTTTTAGGGGGGGCCAAATAAAAAGTAATAAAAAATATGCTTTTTAGTGCGCAATTTTTAAACCAAAAGCCTAATATTTAACCCAATTTATAGATTTTAGGGGGGGCCTTGACCCATGGGCCACCTCTCTGTATCCGCCACTGATCTAAATATATTAATTTTTGATACAAATTCCTACTACTAATTATTATAAATATTAATAACACATTTTTTACACTTTTTCAAAACAATTCCTGCTGCTGATGATGATGACGATGATAATAGTGAAGGTATAACTGAAATATATTGGGCTGTTGATCGGTTTGGCTCGCACTCGGACTGGCATGCTTCCTCAGCGATTCTTGATGCGCAACAATAATAGCTTTTTTCGTTTTATTCTTATTACCGATTCTGAACCGTCCTAGAACTCTGCAGCGCATGCGCAAATGAAATAATGTCTTCATATTTCCTTCTGCGCATACGCATCACAGTTCTAGGACGGTTCAGAATCGGTAATAACAGGAAAACGAAAAAAGCTAATAAAACAATTCCCCACAATTATAATTAAAATGTGACAAATGTCATAGTCAAAGGTGTTAAAGGTGGGCGACTAATAAACAAAAATTTAAACAGCATTTTCTTATTTTTCGGTTGTAGATAAAACGTTCTACATGACACGTGCGTTTAAACATGATTACAACACTGGTGTGATTAGAACGACTCGGTCTACGACCTCGTTCTAATTGTTCACACTCGTTATTGTAATCATGTTCATAAACGCACTTGTACTGTAAATAACTATTATAGGTCTGTTGACTAACACCAAAACCAACGGCATGGTTTTAAAGTAAAAAATACGAAAAAAAATATTAGTGTCTCCTTTAAAAGTGAATATCTCCAAAAATCATAATCAGGTAATCAATCAATCAAAAAATAAACTATCGAGAAAGTATACACGTAGATGATAAAATGATTTTTAAATTCTTTGCTTTATTAACCTACTCCACAGGACGCTTCAAACTTTTCCAAAATATCAACATTTTGTTTTCCCTCATATAATTGACAAATGGCAACTTTCATTTTTAATTTAGAAAGAGACATTAGAAAGTCAAATAATTTAGCTACAAATTTCTTAAAAAATCATCAAAATCGGTCCACTAGAACACAATATACACAACTTTAAATAACATCAAAATTTTAAGGTGTCCGTTTTTACGTTCTTAACTAGATAAATCCTACTGATTCTAACAAACCCTATTACTAGAGAATACCTATAAAAAGTACATATCGAAGATTAAACTCAATAAAACCTAATGGAATTACTTAAATCCACGATATTTTCGTTCATTTCCTCGAACATGCAAATGTTAAAAATCTAGTTAGCAGTATCGAACGTTTCGTATAGCCCCCTTCATCCTTTTTCCTATTTCCAGCCGGCGGAGTTAATTCGGCTCAAGTGCTTCTGCTCTCCGGAATCGGCCCGGAAAAGCATTTGAGGGAGGTAAACGTACCGTTGGTTAAAAACCTGCCTGTGGGAGAGTATTTGCAAGACCATGTCATGTTTATCGGCTTGGTAATCAGGTAAGATCTTAGCAAATCAGTTTTAAAAAGTCTTAACCTGACTTGTTCCACTAAATTTACTGTGATTTTATATGCATCCGTCATACGTCTGACTTAAACTATCTTTAAACCAACTATATTTGAATAGCACGATCTGATCAGCTGACTATCTGACTAACCCATTAATTATCTGACTGCCTCTGTGACTCTTTTGCTTACTCTTTAAAGCCTGGTTGACACGGTCAAAGTGTACTTAGATCAAATACACTGTCAACTAGGCTCTATATTCGTCAAACAGTTTACAATATAATTCCACTCACCCGGCGATGATCGCGACGAATTCAACGTTCAGTTATCTGCGTCTGATTTCTTGGGCCTCATGGTTATATTTTAATTGTTTAATAATCTATACTAATATATAAAATCATTAAGTGACTGACCACTGATTAATCACGATCCTGCTCAAACCACTCAACGTAAGAAGCTCAGTTTTGGCATACAGGTTGATTCTAGTGTGTAGAGGTTCGATAAGAAGGGATTTTTGGAAATTGCAGTTCCAAGGGGGTGAAACATGGGTGAAACCACCCCTGAAATATTACAATATTTTTTATTTAAAAAACGGCCAAGTTTCGGAAAAACGGTTAAACACGTATATTTTATTTTGTTTTTTACATATTTTAAGATTTTTTAAAAATGTATACAGGGTGTTTCGAAAAATCTGGTTATTGATTAATCACGATCCTGCTTAAAGCGCTTGACGTAAAAAGCTCATTTTTGGAAAACGGATTGACTTTAAAGTGTAGAGGTTCGATAAGAAGAGACTTTTCGAAACTCGAATTCTAAGGGGGTGAAACCACCCCTCAAATATTACAATATTTTTTATTTAAAAAACGGTTAAGTTTCCGAAAAAACGCTTAAACACGTATATTTTATTTTGTTTTTTTACATATTTTAAGATTTTTCAAAAATGTATACAGTGTGTTTCGAAAAATCTGGCCATTGATTAATCACGATCCTGCTTAAAGCGCTTGACGTAAAAAGCTAATTTTTGGAAAACGGGTTGACTTTAAGGTGTAGAGGTTCGATAAGAAGGGATTTTTCGAAACTCAAATTCCAAGGGGGTGAAACCATCCCTCAAATATTAGAATATTTTTTATTTTGAAAACCGGTGAGTTTTTCGGAAAAACTCTTAAACACGTATATTTTATTTTGTTATTTTACATATTTTAAGATTTTTTAAAAATTTATACAGGGTGTTTCATAAAATATGACCATTGAGTAATCACGATTCTGCTTAAACTGCTTGACGTTTAAAGCTGATTTTTGGCAAACGGATTGACTGTGGGGTGTAGAGGTTCGATAAAGAGGGGTTCAAATATTACAATATTTGTTATTTAAAAAACGGTTACTATTTCGGGAAAACGCTTGGACACGCATAATTTATTTTGTTTTTTACATATCTTAAAATTTTTAAAAAATCATACATTGTGTTCCAAAAACTTGGGCAATTGATTAACCACGATTCTGCTTAAACTACTTGACGTAAAAAGCTTATTTTTGACGGAAACGGATTTTTCGCCAGCCAATTCCAACAAGATGAAACTACCCCTCAAATATTACCAAGTTATAAAATAATATCGCCATATTGTTTTTTCTCATGCTGACATAAATGTGAGAAAATTTTATCCAGTTTGTATGTTAATGGAAATTCTTGCTTTGCTTTGTTATCACCATTACAGATGATTAATTCAACGCAAACGAAGTCGCGGGAACACGCTAGTGATATATAAAAAAACATATCTAGGTCCACGTCATGCAAGTAACTGATCCCTTGGGCCTATATCGAATTTTGGTCTATTAAATTATATTTTACATTATTTTTTCCCAAATTGATATAAACCCAAGTGGCCTAAATTAAAGTTTTGACAATACAAGAAAAAAATCATTAGGTGGCTTGGATAAAAAAAAAGAGTGATTGGTGGCAGAGTTAGCAGCATCCAGCTGAAAAATAACTATTATTTTTCATATTTTTTCTGATTCATTTGAAAAATACTCAGCTTTCTATATGTTTTCTATTTTTAGGATCAACGGTACTTTTTACAATGACACTTTACGAGAACTTTTAATGAGGTATAGAAGAAATCAGCGACCATTAATTTCATTATTCGAAAGTATTGCTTTTACAAATATCGACAAAGATACTAAACAACGACCGGATATAGAATATCTTGTGACAGTTCCGCAAAATCTAACAGACAGGGCTTCAATGTACCGCAGGTACCGTATGACCAAAAAAAAACGGCGTCAAAGACGTCTGGGGAATGACAATCGATGATAATTTTAGCGAAGTCAAGCTCTAGATGTCATTTACTAAAAATTGTCAAAAATTAACATTAATTAAAAGAAAATCAAAAATGACAGAACGATTCCAAACTACTCCATTAAAAAATTATTTTTACACAATATAAAAATAAAATACCACCTGCTTAAAACTGGCAGTAAGCGCCCATCAAAAAATAAAGAAGTGTACGTGCCAAGTAAATGACATCTTGGGCTTGACTTCGCCAAAGTTATCATTGATTGTCATTCTCCAGCCCTATTCAACACCGTTTTTTTTTCAATGTATTTTTATGTTTTATAATTTTAGAGAAATATCCAATATGTTATTAAAAAATAACTACCCACCCTAAGTTACTACGCTCATCTATATAAATATTTTTTTTCGATAGCCTTAACGATGAATACTTGGCTGCTATTAAAATCAACACTACCAGTGACCTGATACTGTTCACGATGTTGATGCATCCGAAATCACGTGGTTCGGTAAAACTTCAATCCAACAGTCCCTTGGATGTGCCCTTGATCGATCCTAACTACTTGGCTGAAGAAGAGGACATCGAAAAGTTGTACCAGGCAGTGAAATTTATTGTGAACTTGAACAATACCGAAGCATTTAGAAAGCACGGGGCACATGTGGTGGCATTTGACTATCCAAATTGTGAAACATATAAGAAATTTAGTAAGGGTTGGTGGCAGTGTGCTATAAGACATATGAGTAATACGGTAAGAGTTCATTTGTTTATTTGTTGTGTTTACCATATGTCATGTACAGGGTGAGTCAAACGATAGAGTAAAGTCCATTATCTCATTTGTTTCGAGGCTTGCAAAAAAATTAAATATAAAAGTTATAGGAAAGGTTAAGATACACATTTTAAAATTATTATAGAGTATACAGGGTGCTTCAAAAAAGTGTGGCGGATATAACATATGTTATTTTTAAATGCAACACCCTATTTTTTATTTTATTTTTAAATTCTGCGTAAAATTCTATAACTTTTTTTATATATAATATTATATACCTAAAATGAATAGTTTTTGTAATATTTAAATTTGTTTAAACAAATGTTAAATTGCAATGTGGTAAGAAATTGTCAGTGGTACCATGGTTTCTGAAGTTGGAATAGCAAAATTTGGTATGAGAGTTTTATAGAGATCAAAAAAAAGATATATGTAAAGATATTTTAGTTAAATGCTGCAGGGTGTTCAAAATTTATTTATGAATTTCAACTAATTAAAATTAAAAAAACTCTTCTTTCTAAGCTCTTCAACTTTTATTAAATATGTCATATACGTATTTTTAATAGTTTGCGATTTATTCCAATTTTTTCTATTTGTACCCATATTTTTAATACAATTACGCTATAACATCATAGTTACCGTGACAAAACAATAATATTTAGTACTTATCTTTAACAAGTAGATTAATAATTAGTTACAATTGTTATTATTAGCTAAAATTAATTAACTTTACTCAAATAAACTAAAATCGTAGTCGTGAATTTCTTGGCGTCTATATTTGTCTATATTATGAAAGATGACCCTTGGATTTTCCGTAGGGACGAATACCCAGGACGAACAGCTTAGAGTAATACTAGCTTACCTAATTGTTGACGACTACTGATATAGGAATTTTCTTCGACTTGCAGTAAAGTTTTTTTTCTCTAGCAATTCTGGTTTATAATTCATTTCGTAAAGTGCCGCTAAATGGCCCAGCAGCTGATGCGGCTTATATAAAACCCTTCTTCTTCTTCTTCATTTCGTAAAGCCAACATTTTTGCCGCGAAACCGTCCCATTATACACTTACTGAAAATACATAATATAATATGAAAGTGTTTTCTAGATAATCTACATCTATTATTATAGTACTTAGCAAAGTACTATAAAACATATAGTACTGAACCAAAAAATATGTTTATCTTGGTTTGTTCGTGTATATTAGTCACATTGACTAATTCATTTTCGGGAAAATCTGTAATTATTATCTCTACCTCTACCATTTATATTTATTACAACAAATAAATTAAAATTCACGTTTTGTTCTTAACTTGCTTAACAGACATGACAGCTATTTTAATAATTATTATTTTTTGTCATGGTAACTATGATGTTAGAGCGTAATTATTGTATTAAAGATACGGGTAAAAATAGAAAAAATTGGAATAAATCGCAAACTATTAAAAATAGGTATATGACATACTTAATAAAAATTGAAGAGCTTTGCTAAATCTATCAGAAAAAAAATGAAAATATATAGGGTGTGCCATTTAAAAAAATTGAGATTTTTTAATTTTAAATAGTTGAAATTCATAAATATATTTTGAACACCCTGTAGCATTTAACTAAAATATCTTTACATATATCCTTTTTTTCATCTCTATAAAACTCTCATACCAAATTTTAGTATTCCAACTTAAGAAACAATGGTACCACTGACAATTTTTTACCACACTGCAATTTAACATTTGTTTAAACAAATTTACATATTACAAAAACTATTAATTTTAGGTATATAACATTATACATAAAAAAGTTATGGAATTTTACGCAGAACCTGAAAATGAAATAAAAAAGAGGGTGTTGCATTTAAAAAAAACATATTTTATATCCGCCACACTTTTTTGAAGCACCCTGTATACTCTATAATAATTTTAAAATGTGTATCTTAACCTTCCCTATAACTTTTATATTTAACATTTTTTTGTAATCCTCGAAACAACTGAGATAATTGACTTTACTCTATCCTTGACTCACCCTGTACAATATCCAAGTAATTTTAGCAAATTGCTTTCTCACTCCAAATCACTAGTTGCAGAAACAACTTGTCAGTATTAATGTCAGTAACATGTTCAGTAGAAACTGTTGTTCTATCTTTTAAGTAGTCCTTGTACTACTACATAAACGTGGAAAATTTGCAGCACCATTAAGCAACTTCTTCTCATAAGGCCACTAATATTTCCAAAATATTAAAGACAGCTATTGGACACCCCTGTACAGGGTGTCCAATTTTTGTGTGTTTTTATGGTGTTTCTCGTTTACGAGTACAGATACAAATATGCAGTTTTCACATCATTATGCTACATTTTTACGAATCTTAAGATGCTACACACATATTTCATACCGCTGAAATACATATTGTCAAGAAAAATGGCGCATCCGCCAGAAATTAAAAATGTATTACTGGTTGCCTGCACAACCGCAACGTATCCGCCAGAAATTAAAAGACTTTTTCAGGCGCCATCTTTTAGTCAAGTCGAGAAGTAAGGGAATCAGACAATAGAATTGTCTGGTATGAAGAAGTACGCTTTCGAGAATTGGGGAAATTCTTGAGTAGCAGTCAATAGAGTATATAAGCCGGAGCCATCGACAACTGAGACAGTTTTGAAATTTGAATATACCGCGTGGGAAATTGGAAATCGGACAATTTGGTGAAGGAATCTTATAAATAGTTAGTTTGTTGTGTTATGTTGTAATTGTATATAGTGAGAAAATAAATTCGTTAAGTATTTTATCGTGAGTTTAAATTAGTGGACCCACGGAATCCGTAACAATTGGTGTCGGAAGTGATTCAAGAGGATTTTAAGAAGAAATTAAGTGGATTGGAAGATTTTAGACTGAATTAGAGTATTTTATGGTTGGTACAAGGGAACAAGCGAAGAAATGGAGGAAGTAAGCAAATTTTATTAAGCGATTTTATGGAGAATATGAGAAGAGAGAAGGCAGAAGAACAAGAAAGACTCCGTAAAGAACGAGAAGAAGAGCGAGCCCGATTAGAAAGAGAAAAGGAAGAGGAAAAACTACGACGTCAACAAGAACAGGACCGGCTTGAGAACATTTTCGAAGATTTGAAAGTTCAACGACAACAAGAGAAACAAGAAGAACAGGACCGGCTTGAGAAAATACTGGGTAATTTGGAAATTCGTTTGGAGGAGCGACGTCAAAAAGAAAGACAAGAAGAACAGGACCGTATTCAGAAATTTTAGAAAATCAAGGAATTAGACAAGAACGGTTGGAGAAAATTGTTGAAGATTTAGAAGTGCGTCGTCAGAAAGAAAAATTTGAAGATCAGGACCGTCTTTAAGAAAACTTTGATGAAAATCAGGAATTTCGACTACAGAAGAATTTTGAAGACCTGGAAAACGACAGGAGAACCATTTCCAAGAAGTCGTAGAAGATCTGGAGGAGCGCCTTCAGCAGAAGATAGAAAGGTTGGAGATGGACCTGACAGAGAAGACCAAGGTACAAGTAAGGACACCTGGCGTTCCGGGAACTGCAAAACCTAAGGCCCCGACCTACGATGGACAAACGATTATGGACAATGTACCACCGTCAGTTTGAAGCAGCCGCCGCTGCCAACGGATGGACTGACCAAGAGAAAGCAGCAGCACTTCGTCATCGCGCTGCGTGGCCCTGCTCTGAACTGTTGGTAAACTATTCTGCAGCCCAACAGCAGGAATACCAAACTTTGGTCGCTGCACTGGACAGAAGATATGGCGACCAACATCGACGCCAACTTTACCAGGCCCAGATCAAGACACGCCTGCAGAGGTCCGGAGAGAGTCTGCAGGAATTCTGAAGCAGACTTACGTCGGCTGGTACACCTGGTATATCCAGAAGCACCGGAAGGATTTAGGGGAGGAACTCGCTGCTCAGTGCTTTATCAGCGGACTGAGGGACAACGAATTACAGAGGGCGCTGCAAATATCCCGATTTTCTACCAGCAGCGAAGCACTGGTCAGGGCGCTGGAAATCGAAGCTGCATTTAGCGCCATCCCTGTAACTGAAGATAAAGATCGGTAACGGTTGAGGAACAGCCCGGAAGTTCTCACATACGTTTGGAGGAGATGTTTAGTAAACTATGTGAGTTACTAGTGAACAAGAGTAGCAACAACACCCAGACAGAGAGCTATAGAAGATCACAGGACATAAGGTGCTTTAGATGTGGCAGGAATGGCCACATCAAACGGGATTGCCGCGTTCAAATGCGATCCCGTTCACCATCCAGAGAACGTAGGCACCAGGAAACTAAAATCAGTCAATACTAAGGGGCGAGTATTGACTGGGGAGAACAGAGCCCCAGGATTTTTTTCCATTAGGAGTCTGGGAAGAACCGCTGACAGTTTGGTGATCGACGGAAAGTCAAATGGAAAGGAATCTGAATGACAGTGGACACTGGCGCTATGGTATCGTTGGTGCGGGCTAACTCAGTGCAAGGATTGAAGCTGATGCCTCTGAGGAAAGAAGAGTGTGTTTACGTACAGTTACGGGGGAAATGGCCGTTGTACGGGGAGAGGCTATCGTCGAACTGAAGTTAGAAATTTGAAGTTCCAGCATAGCGTTTTAGTGGCAGATATTGAAGATGACTTCATCTTGGGCATGGATGTGATTCGTCAACATGGATTTTCGTTCGATCACCAGAGAAATATCCCTGAATATCGGAAATGAAGAGTTTATGTTATCTCCAGACAAGGGACCAGGAAGAATGGATGTAAGATCAGCGGAAACTGTGGTGATACCTGGTAATACCGAGAAGATCGTATTCGGTAAAGTGGAGAAATCAAAGCTGGGCGCTGTGTTGGACTGGTACAAAGTAGCGACAAGAAACAAGATAGGTACTTAGTAGGAAAAATCATTGGTGAACACCGACAAGAATATACCGATCAGAATTGCGAATGTTTTCCCGAATTGTGTCAAGATCCGAAAAGGTGACAAGATAGCCATCTGCGAACCTGTAAGAAGTGCTTCCTCACCTGGATGTGATGAAGTGTCGTCAGCTGTTACACAAAAGGCATCCCAAGAAACACTAAAATATCTAGAACAGCCATGGGATCACCTAACACCTGGAGGAGAAACAGTAGGCCAAGCAGTTCCTGCTAAAAGCATGGCAGTATTTTGAGAAGAACAACAGTGGAAGAACGGATTTTGTGAAGCACCGGATTAATACCTGGTCATGCTCAGCCGATCTGACAACGTCCTAGAAGGGTGCTCCCCTTTCCAAACAACAAGAAATGGAGATACAATGGTAGATAAGATGCTAGAAGATGGAGTTATCGAAGAATCATCAAGTCCATGGTCATCTCCTGTTGTTTTGGTAACGAAGAAAGATGGTAGTACACGATTCTGCGTGCGGATTATAGGAAGCTCAATGACGTCACTTAAGAAAGATAGCTACCCACTGCCACGTATAGATGACACATTAACAACTCTCGCAGGTAGTGCTGGTTCTCCACTCTGACTTAAAGAGTGGATACTGGCAAGTTGGTCTGGACGAGGAAGACAAAGAAAAGATCGGTTTTTTTTACAGGAAACGGACTATACCAATTCAAGGTCATGCCGTTTGATTATGCAATGCTCCAGCCACTTTCGAACGTCCTCATGGAGGTGGTGTTAAGAGGATTAACTTGGAAAACGATGTTTGGTTTACCTCGACGATGTATTGGTTATGGGAAGAACTTTGAGGAGCATTTGCGAAATTTAGAAGAAGTCTTCGGACGCATACGGAATGCTCACCTGTAATTTGAACCCGAAGAAGTGAATATTCCAGCGACAAGTGGAATTCTTGGGTCATGTAGTCTCGGCAGACGGAATTACACCGACCAGAAGAAAATCGCTGCGATCAAGGATTGGCCTAAACTCGCGACAAACATGAACTTAGAAGTTTTCTGGGTTTATGCACCTATTACAGAAGATTTGTCAAGGGATTTGCCAATATAGCTGCACCCTTACATAGACTTACAGGTGATGAAGTCGGCTACGAATGGAACACCGATTGTGATGTTAGCCTTTGGAAGACTTAAGGCGGCTTTATGTTCAAGTCCTATTCTAGCCTACCCGCAACAACAAGGGAGGTATATCCTGATACCGACGCCAGCAATATCGGCATAGGTGCAGTGCTATCACAAGTGCAAGATGGCGAAGAAACGAGTGATAGAATATTACAGTCGAGTTCTATCTAAACCAGAAAGGAAATTACTGCGTTACCCGGAAGGAGCTGCTAGCAATTGTAAAAGCAGTTGATCATTTTCATAAATATCTGTACGGCCAAGAATTTTAATTAGGACAGATCATGCGGCTCTCTCAAGTGGTTTATGGAGATGAAACAACCTGAAGGTCAAATAGCACGATGGCTCGAGAAGCTCCAGCAGTAATCAACTTACCATCCAACATCGTGCTGGAAAGATGCATGGTAACGCAGACGGTTTATCCAGAAGACCCGTCAAACCGATTGTAAGCACTGCAGTAAAACGGAACAACGTGAAATTACTGTCATGATAAGGAGTTTTAAGCTTGGAACCGATGAACAGTGGACGACGACACAATTGAGGAATGACCAAATGAAAGATCCAGACATCGGAGCAATACTACGGCTCAAGGAAGGTAACGGCGAGAGACCACCGTGGCAGGATATTGCAAACAGAGGGCTCGTTTTCAAAGCTCTCTGGGCTCAGTGGAATTCACTGGTTATTGAGAATGGATTGTTAAAGCGCACGTGGGAAAGTGCGGATGGCAGGACAGTAACAACTCAGTTACTGGTACCAAGAAAGAAAGTTACCCAGGTATTGGAAGAAATTCACGGTGGTAAAACTGGAGCCCATCTTGGAGTAAACAAGACCTTGAGCAAGCTGGAGAGATCGTTTTTACTGGGTGGATTATTGCGAAGATGTCAAGAAATGAATTGTCGACAATGTAAAACTTGTGCAGCCAGCCAAGGACCAAGCACTCGCTCTAGGGGAAAAATGAAACAATATAACGTTGGACTGCCATTCGAAAGAATCGTTGTTGACATTGCAGGCCCATTCCCTGAAACGCAATAAGGGCAACAAGTACGTTTTAGTGGCGCATGGATTATTTCAGTAAATGGCCAGAAGTTTTTGCCATTCCAAACCAAGAAGCATCGACTGTAGCTGAAGTATTAGTCCATAATGTCTTCAGTAGATTTGGAATGCCTTTAGAGCTTCACACTGACCAAGGAAGAAACTTCGAGTCAAGACTGTTCCAGAAGATGTGTGATCTGCTTGGTATTCACAAGACTAGGACAACAGCTTTACATCCGCAGTCTGATGGGATGGTCGAGAGATTCAATAAGACCATTGAAGAACATCTCTCGAAAATGGTGGATGAACATCAAAGAGATTGGGATCAGCATATACCACTATTCCTAATGGCATATAGTGCAGTTCACAACACCACCGGACTTTCACCATCGAAGATTTATTTGGGTCGAGAATTACGGTTGCCTTGTGACTTGGTGTTCGGATCACCAGACGACAGCACCCACGAACGTAGAGGACTACGCGGATGAACTGAAGGAAAGGTTATTGGGAATTCATAAGGCCGTGAGAAGTAAGATTACGCCAGCCAGTGACCGGATGAAAGCTCGTTACGACCTCAGAGCTAATTCTACGGGATTTCAACAGGACGATCTGGTATGGTTATATAACCCACAGCGCAAGAAAGGGAGGTCCCAAAGTTTACTCCAGCATGGGAAGGTCCTTATACAGTCATCAAGAGGATAAATGATGTTGTGTACCGGATTCAACGCAGCCCTAGAAGTAAGATGAAAGTAGTTCATCTGGATCGATTGAAGAGATACCAGACAGGAAAACCCTTGATCGGGACGATCAAATTTGAGAAGGGGGCAATGTCAAGAAAAATGGCGCATCCGCCAGAAATTAAAATGTATTACTGGTTGCCTGCACAACCATAAACGTATCCGCCAGAAATTAAAAGACTTTTTCAGGCGCCATCTTTTAGTCAAGTCGAGAAGTAAGGGAACTGTGGACAATAGAATTGTCTGGTATGAAGAAGTACGCTTTCCGAGAATTGGGGAAATTTCGAGAAGCAGTCAATAGAGTATATAAGCCGGAGCCATCGACAACTGAGACAGTTTTTGAAATTTGAATATACCGCGTGGAAATTGAAAATCGGACAATTTGGTGAAGGAATCTTATAAATAGTTAGTTTGTTGTGTGTTATAAGTTAGTAATTGTGTATAAAGTGAGAAAATAAATTCGTTAAGTATTTTATCGTGAGTTTAAATTAGTGGACCCACGGAATCCGTAACAATATTACTTATTTAGAATTAATATACTCGTAGATCTATCATCCGGCATCTACAGCCAGAATGGGATCAGATCCATCAGTATCAGTGATAAACACCAATCTACAAGTTCATGGTGTTGCCAAATTGAGAGTTGTTTGCAGTAGTTCGATGCCCGAGTTGAATTCTGGACATCCTTCAGCACCTGTAGTCATGATAGCTGAGAAAGCCTCAGATATCATTAAAAAGTATTACGGAAAACTGTGATAAATAAATATTATGTTTATTTAAGTTATTAAAAAGATTGTTTTATTTCATTTTTGTTTGACACATATCAAAAAAAAAAGTAAAAAATTTCTGTCTGTCGTTTCTGAATTTTCTGATTGGTAGTAATATTGGATCCATTAGCATCTCTGTATATTGTTGTCTTATCCAAGTCTTAGGAGGTTCACGGTTAAGGCTTTTATACAGGCGGGTGTCTCAGAAATAAGTGTAAGGACTGGTAGTATATTTCGACCCCAGAAACACGCCTATGAGGTTTTTTGCGAAAAAAAATGTTGAAAATTTTAAATTATCTTCTTGACATTTTTTGGTAAATTTAAAAAAAAATAGTGCCACTTGTTTATTCAACTGAGATTTCTTGACGGTGTATCTAAACCTTGCAGTATTGCCACCTGTTACTTTATCCACGTTCTACAATTCTACATAGCGATTATTTATAGATTTACAGCAATTTAAATTTCTACACCAAAAATTACCACTAATGAATGTTAATTTTAATCTTTTAGCAGTGCCCATTACTAATAATTCTAGAAAAACAGTTTTTTTTAAAACTCTAAAAGAATGTAACACCCTTATTAACCCTTCTTTAAAGAGAAAATTGCAAGTATCCAAGCCCTTATTACCAAAATTGTATGCGTTACCAAAAATTCATAAGCCGGATAAGTCTATGCACCCAATTGTTTCGGCTGTAGGTTCTCCGACTTATAATTTGGCAAAATGGTTATCAAGGGTGTTTATCAAGAGGAAAATTTATCTGTTCATGAATCCTCTTTCTCAGTTAAAAATAATATTGAATTCATTAACAAAATTAACATTAAAGATATAACATTGCATGAAGGTGAAATTTTGGTCTCCTTTGATGTATCTTTGTTGTTCCCAAAATTTCCATTTCCACATACTTTAGGCTACTTGAAGGAATTACTGAACGCAAATGGTCTCGACAACAAAACTGTGATTGAATATATTGAGCTTACATCGTTATGTATGAAACAAAATTGTTTTCAATTTAATAACAACTTTATTGAACAGCGGGAAGGTACAGCAATGGGTAATCCATTGTCTCCATTTTTGGCTAATTTATTCATGAGCAGGTTTGAAGTGGAAGCTAAGAATCAGTTTGAGTATTTTCAAGAGTATGGTTTAGACAATGGATGATATTTTTTGCTGTTTTTGCTGTTTTGACACACATTCAGAAACCATAGATAATTTTATTTCTAAGTTAAATAATCGTTTTCGTTCCATTAAATTTACGCATGAAATTGAGAACAACGACAGATTACCATTTCTAGATGTATTAGGTATAGTATATTATTAGTAATAATTGCCTGGAATTTTGATATCTATAGGAAAAATATGACCACACGCAGATATATTCCTAATGAATCACATCATAGTGTTGAACATAAAATGGCTAGTTTAAATTTCTTAGTTCATAGATTACTCAGTTTTCCACTTTCCAGCGAAAGATATGAAATAGAAAGAAATTACCCTAATTACCTATTAGGAAATTTAACTGAGTGTAATGGATATTCTCCTTCACTAGTTGATAAAATAATTAGAAAACGTAAGTATAGGTTAATGATTTCTGAAAATTCGACTTTTCAAGTGGAGAAAGATACGTCAAATATTTATCAATACCGTTTGATGAGAGTTATCCGGTATTCTAAAGGAATTTTAAGAATGTCAATTATAAACTTGTGTATAGTGCTAATAATAAATTACAACAATTATTAGGTAATCCAAAGGATAAAACACCTCCACTGGAAAGGTCGGGTATTTATGAAATTTCTTGTAAAGATTGTAATCAGAAATATGTTAGGCAAACTAGAAGATCAATATTAACTAGATTTAAAGAACATTTAGCTCAGATATGATATGGATATAGGATAAATCTTGCGTTGCCGAACATATTGTTGATAAAGAACATTGTATAGATCTTAATAATTTAAAATTAATTAAACAAGTCTCAAATTACAGGCAATTAGATGCATATGAAAGCATCAGAATTAATAAATGTAAAGATAGTATGAACAGAGACAACGGTCCAATTCCTTCAAGTTCTTTGTTCCTACTACTCTAATAGCGGAAATTTAACTGTTACACGCTCGGTGGGCTCTGATTCGGTTGGCTAGATTTTGATCACTGAGCGAGTATATAACGCTCAACTTGTAGATTGTATTTTGGTTTATAATCATCTGCTGATGATGCTAACGTGGTTTTCGAAACGCGCGTCCAGTGTAACAGTAAAGTGTTTTGGTGTGTGGTGATTTAGTGTTTCTATTTTGCTGTGTAACACCAAAGGTTCCAACCTCAACTGTAATAAAAGAAATATATTTAATTAGTATTTTTAAAATAAACATAAAATTACGGAGATTCTTTGTCAACGTCATGTTTAGTGTAGTATTAAAAATAAATTAAGTGATCTGCTGGACATGACGTCATATGACGCAATATTTTCAAAATAATTTTTTAGAAAAAAAAACTGGTTCTAGAGCTATTTGTTTCATTTCTTTATTTTTTTTTTTTTTTTTTTGGTATGGATCTTAATTTTGACACACCCTATATTTCTTCAGTGATAAACCTTAAGATCTAAGGATTAAACCAAAAATGGACCAAGTACGTGATATAACGTTACTGTCCGCGAACGTGTTAATGTAAATATTTATGAGCCGTTTATCCACTAGCCATATTTTTTATCAGCTAATCAAATAAGTGTGCAGGTAACTAGGCAATTAGAATAATTAGTATTATCACTTTCTTTAGTGCACTCCATATATTAATTTTAACTATAAACAAAAGCATATTAACTAGTCAACTGCATCATCGAGAAATATCATGTACCGGGAGTTATATTTAGTTTGTGTGTACTTCTAGTGAGCATCTTCTCTCATGGTAATTTGTTTTCTTTCTTTTTCTTTAATTTAAAGAAATGATAAAAGAAAAGCCTTTTTACCGGCTTAGTGAGTGTCAAAATTGACTAAAAGGGTGGCATAATATAAGGTGTTCTAGTGTTTCTCCACAGAATCTGCATTCGCCCCTCTTTCTTAGCTTCAATCTACTGAAGTGTTCGCTGAGGAGACAGTGTCCTGTTAGAAATCATGCAATCGAAGATTGTTCTTACTTCTTCCTTTTACAGTACTATACACTATACAGAGCGTCAGCTACCTCTCTCATGTACTTGAATGGTGTGTGACATTAGTGTTTCACAAGTAAGTACACGGGACCTACAGTTTGTAGCCGAATCCAGGCTGGCACTATTTGAGGCTGTACAAGGCAAATATACTCAAGGTGGTTTGCCATTGCCTTCCCTTGAGGTGGCAGCTCGCTGGTCGCTCTATTCAGATAAATAACCTTTTTATTTAAATAAATAAAAGCTGCTGTACTTTGCGATGGGAACTATCGAATGAATTAGATTATCGAATGGTTACTGAATGAATGATTTCAACTATCGAATGGTTTTATTCGAATAAAATGTTCATTCATTTTTATACTAAAGCATATGTGACAACCTCGCCGTGCGACTAAATGGTTATCGTTCAGCCGCGACTATCAGAATGCTTTTGATAAATGAAATTTGAAATATTTTTAATTGTTTCCTTTTATTATTGGTCTGATGCAGTTCTTCTAAATTTTACTTTTCGCCTTACCTTATAAATACTGTGCTATCTTTGCGTTTATTAAAATTTCTAAAATACTAAATAGTAGTTTTTTTTTTTTAATTGACGATTATGTGCAGGTGGTCAAAATTTTTCCGAAAATTTGTGTGATTTTCCGTAGCCAGATCTTTCAATTATTTAGTTTATATGGTATATGGTCTACTTTTTTAATGGTAAATTTTGAGAAGTAACTTAATTTTTAAGAGAGAGATGAGATGAACTTACAATTAATTTTAAAATATATATATTTGTATTTTAGATGTTTAATAATATGAATTAGTTGAACTTAATAATCATATTTAAGTAATGTGGTAGTAAAAAGTAAGAAAGTAAATGGTTATCGAACTCAAACTATGGGGTGAGAAAATTAAATTATTCACTTTACGTGCCAATTTAAAAAAAGTTAACGATGTTTGTATTTTGTTTTATGCTAATTCTCTTACATGTAGTTTTTGCGAAGAAATATTTAATTTATTTTTCAAGTAAAGGCCAGTAAGTAAATATTATTTTAAATAGTAATATAAAGTGCTAATATAAATAATTTTGATTTCTAATTTTTATTTGTATTTCCTTCCATTACACTGCATGCTTAGAAAATGAATTAATGTTTATATTTCATGATTTTAAAATTTATTTGTTAGTATAACAAATTAGTTCTGTAATTATTATTATTTAATAAACCAACGTTGCCACAAAAAAATTAGAGACTGTATTATTTTAAATGAGATCTAATATAAATAATTTTGACATCTAATTTGTTGTTTATATTTGCTACTACTTAATGTTTATATTAAATGATTTTAGATTTGTTGTTAATAGGTATAACAAATTATTACTGTTATTATTATTTATTAAACCATGCAGTCTTTGCTTAAAAACATTAAAAATAATTTTCCTACATCCAAAATAACAAGTATTATTGCATTATAACAGACTATTACTAAAAAAATGCAAAATATATGACACACTATCCCTAACTAACTAAAGCCAAAATAATATTCTTTCTAATATCAACTAATACCAATATATGGCAAGAGCGCCCTTCATAATATTTTTTCTGTGTAAATACTAACTCAACAAAAAAAAAAATGTATATCTTTATCTGACTCGGCAAAAAATCAAAGATGCCGGCTTCTTTCATAGCATTACCACCGACCGCTGTCGGGTTTCTCGGAAAAAAAACTCCTTGACAAAATCAGTTAATATTTTATTATAATCGATACTGACGAATAAATGAATTTTATAAATGAATGGTTTTTGCTGCCAATTACTAGAAATACAATATTTCCAAGGCAGATGACGCATCTATTCGATAATTTTTATCGAATAGTTCAGCAAATGTTTTCTTACTATCAGA